CGCGATTGGGGATTTGATCACGAATATGGTCAATGGGAGGGCCCGTTTCGCGTTGACATCCCTGAATTCGACAGTGAGCAAGTTGACGGGCCATTGTACGACGGTCCTCCTATTTTCGATGAGGAGCCTCCGGTAACGGAGCCATATCTTTGCGACAATATGGGTCTCGCCTGGGACGTTGCAGAAGTTGAGCCTTTGACGGAGATGTCGTTGTTCAAACCTGATTTTTGGAGTATCTTGGCCGACGATGATTTTTCGGTGCCGAAACCGAGGCTCAATAACTGGTGGGCCATTTTTCGATTGTATATTCCGCAGTCTCTCAACACCGGGATGCTTGGCTGCAGTTATGGATTGGAGCTCGGTGAACGTTGTGTGATGATTGGTGCTCCTTCCGCTGTGTGGGTTATGCGTATGGAGATGTGTACGCGTGCCTTTACAGCAGTTCGACCCTTGCTCAAGCTTATGTTTCGCATTGGAGTTGTTTGGCAATCTTCGTACTTCGTGTTTGATCGGAGCAAAGGCCAAACTATTTTTGTCTTACGGACGTCTCCAACGATAATGGATCGGATTCGAGGGCGAATCCTGCTCAACCGGGGGAGAATGATGCAGGATTATTATTATTATTATTATTATTATTATTATTATTATTATTATTATTATTATTATTATTATTATTATTATTATTAAATAACGATTAGCTTGGGAAATAAGCTAAGTTTAGGGTTAGAGCCTTATTTAAAGGGTTGTTATACTTTGTTATTGGGATAGTTGAATATGAAGTAAGAATTGATTGAGTTTGTGAGTTTTACGTGTTTTACGAGAGAGTATCTCGTTTACTCGTATTGTATTTTTCCCTTTCGTTCACGCTATTCGCTACATCAGGGTCTTTCTAGTTGTTTTAGTTGTTCGAGTTGTTGGTTAGTTTAGTTGATAGTTTTTATTCTAGTGTTGCTAGTCAGGATTTTAGGCGGCTTCTGACTTGTCCTCCTACTTTTCAGTCGTTGGCTACTTGTATTCGTACATTTGTGCGCTTTTTATTTATTATAATATCTATCGTTTTGAAAAAAAAAAACAATCAACTCTGTTAATTTAACCAGCTATAATTATACTTTTACATAATCTAATATAATCAATTACTAGTACAACACCCGTGTATTACACGGGTGCTTGTTAAAAAATTATTCTTAAATTTTAAAATTAATGAGAAAATTATATTAAATTTAGTTTACTTTTTTACAAAAAAAAATATATTACTATATATTTTAGAATGATGTGTGTTACTTATGACTTACATGTGTTATATTATATTAGTTTTTATAACTTATATCATATAACTACTTGAAATATAAATATAATAGTTGATAAATAATTTATTTTTCTAATTAATATTAAAAAATCATATTATTATCGTTATAAAGATAAATATAAATTATTTTTTTATACATACAATATGGATGTTAAATCGAAGCTCATCAAAAAGAAGATTAATTTGATATATTACGTATGTAAAACTGATAAAAAATACAAAAGTTATTAACTTTTAAAATATATAAACAATTCCATAGTTATAATAAGGAATGATATTAAAATACAATTAATACATGTAACATGACCATATACAATCAACATATTTATGGTAATCCAAACCTAATTATTTTTGGTTTGGAATTAAATTAAAATTTACCCAAGCCTAATAACGAAGTATGTAATTTTGCCACATAGGATTCCAAAGCAACAAAAGTAGCCGCGTAGGCTTAGCGCATTCTGTATTAATATATAGGGGGATAATCAACTAGTTCAATCATATATACTTCACAAAGGCTCATTCGATTCCTAGTCTGATCTTTGATCCCACCTGATCCAATTTCTTATGATTTACCAACCATCACAATTATAATTATATGCTATTATCAATTTTAATCATAATACAATATTTCTGGTGCTAACAAGTAAAAATCAGGCTGAGCCCAAAGTCAAGCCACATTCAAGCCCAAAGTCAAGCCCAAAGCTAAAGGGGCAATAAGCCTGCACACTACTTCGCCGGCACCTCCTCAGAACCCTACCTAAATCATCGAGCTCCACTCACACCGCCACCACTCAT